AAGCAATAATACCTGACATTCTTCCTTGCATGATATATTTCTATTCTATTTTAAAGAGACAACAACCAATCTGATTTGTCAACAGTTGACATTAACACAGTCAACAATATATTGTAATAAATAGACATGCACCAAACCCAAACCGTTTGAGTTTGATCAGACTTAGCTCGACTCGACATATAGGCTCGAGTTCGAAGCTCGATTGAGTTCGAACTCGAATCTAAAAACTCGAACTCGATCGAACTCGAACTTCAAACTTCGAGTTCGATCGAGTTCGAGTTTTTAGATACGAGTTCGAGTCGAGCTCGAGTTTTTACGTTCGAGTTCGAGTCGAGTTCAAGTTCTATAGATCGAGTTCGGTCGAGTTCAAGCTTTAAGGTTCGAGTTCGAGTCGAGTTCGGTTGTGCCCAATGGTGGGCAAAGAAACGGATACTTTCCTATTAATAAACAATCGTAGCTAAGTTTTCACTAGGTAACCAAATGACTGCTATTTAAATGGAATTTGCGAAACCTTTTTGGCCACAAATAATCCACTCAGCGTTTGAGGTACCATTGTCCCAAACAAATACTTGATAAAAACTTCGATTAAATAGAACCTGAGAAGAGTATAAGGTACTACATATATGATAAACTCGACAAAGAACGACCGGCATAGAAGATTTTTAACTCAGTAGTAATTTATAAATAAATAACAAGATTTCTAAAAGCAGAAAACTCTACTTCCGAGCACAATGTCACCACTGTTGATATGACTCGGAGATAAACCGTAAAGATAGAAATCTTTATTCTTAAAGAAAAATCAAGCCACTAATGTTTCAAATCGAATGTTAAACCAAGAAATTTCATCGAGTTCATAATAGGACTGTATGGCGAACCTAGACTATGATCACTGGAAAGGTTATTCTAATCTATAAAACGAAACAAATATTTAAAGTTCTACCAAATTTATGTATCTGTTCATTAAGTTTTCTAAAAAGCTATATTATCAAGCACTATTATACATTGAACACATTAACGATAACAAAATAAAGTTTTCATGATGTATAACGGTAGGAATTAACTATTTCTGTAAATGAATTTCTTTTAATGAGTTTCAAACAGCATCAATAGACATCTAAGTACATATAACAACAAAAACAAGATGAAGAAAAAAATTTTATTAGGGTGAATTCATTGATATGCGCTACTCTCTGAAAACAGTTATTTTCCTTCTTTGTAGCTAGACATGTTTATAATGATCAGAAAACGTGCTTTGGAAAAAATCGTATCTTTGAATACAATAATCTCAGAGTGCTGGATCGTTCTTTCGGATCATGTATACTCCAACATGCATACATAATTCATCACTGAATCGACTCAATATTCTCTCTAAATTCAAAATACTTTTAAAAATTTTTTCGAGTTGAATAAATATCAAGATATTTTCTGATTCTTTTACCATTATCCGGCTCGAAAAAATAAAAAAAAAGAATTTCGAAATTGTTGAAGAATATTGATTAATGCAATGGTGAATGTATATGCTCATTGAGAGATATATGATCCTAAAGAATGATCTAGTACTACGAGATCGTTTCATTCAAGGATATGATTTTTTACCAAATATGTTTTTTGATCAGAATAAAGATGTTTAATTAGAAAAATTAGAACAAAACTAATTTCAAAAAGTGGTGGATACCCATGGATTTTCTCATTAAACGTTCAAATATATTTTTCAAGTCTTATTGTTTAAATGTCATCGAATTTATCATGTAAATAAACAGATAATGCCAGATTTTCTGGTAGAAGTCGTGCTCTTTGTTTTCGTCCGTAATTAGCAGAAACACTAAAGGCAGCTTCAGATGCAACACTTGAAGCGGGTGAAGCTAAATATTTTTTGGCTAGAGCAGATAATAATGGTAAAAAGTTTTGATTCGTTCGCCAGAACAGAAGTGAATCACTTTCACCATCCAAAACATATCGAGCAGCAAAAAGTTTATAATTACGAAATTCTTCGATTAATAAACCAGTAGTTGTTGTTGATTTTGTGGACCGTGAGCTCTGATCAACAGGATCAGTAATCGATTCCAAAAAATCATCGATTGTTGATTTTTTTGATAAACGTTTAGTAATTGTTCCTGATGAAGAATCTGTTGTTCCTGCTTTTGTATTTGATGTTGACGTTACATGATGAGTATATAATTTTTGTATATTATTATCAATAACTATTTGTTTAAGCTCACGCTCAATCGATGTAATTTCCGTTGTTTTTAACATGGACAAACCTCTGGGGTCAAAATATGAATGAAACTAAATATATAGACAATACTGCTGATCCATTGATTGTATCAATAAGACCTCTGCATAAAAATAAAAAATCACCAACTTTTCGATCGATTTCAATTGGTAATATATCATCATCATCCTCTGTGTTAACACCATGTTGAAAATTATCTTCAAGATCACTTTCTTCTTCATCATCATCCTCGTCGTCTTCAGAATCATCTTCATCTCCTTGACTATCATTTTTTGAGTTATCCTTTGTTGTCGATCCTGATTCATTATCATCTTGATTGAATTCTTCACTACTCTACAAAGTCAACATATTTTATAAAGAAAGATTTGCATGATGATACCTGTGTATTAAAAGACTGAGGATCTTTATTTACAAAATCTACGAATAATAATTAAATATGTGTTTCTCTTAAACGCAGCTCGATTCTAATTTACTTTATCCTCAATGAAATTGAAAAATGTTCTCATTACTTATTCATGTTTTGCTCTAGTTTAGGAGCTTTGAAGTATACATTTTTTTATCATTGTTGGGAAGCTTCAACCCTCATTGTAGAAAAGCAATAGTATGTCTCGTCAGAACTAGATTGATTGAGCAAAGAATTTCTGGACCGGGACCTCACTGATTAAAATTGTTGGGACCCAGACCTGATCAGTTAAATGCTTTATGATCGACACTCGATGGCAACTTCGCTTATATATTATAGTCAGAAAGACCGTTCCTTTTTTTAAAATAAATTATTGACTTTTTTCAATAAAACAAACAATGACGAATAAATTCCTCAAACTATTATTATATTCATATAAGTTTTCTTCTGAGTCGTGTGAGATCAGAAAAAAAATTTGTAGACCCGAATCTGTTCAGAACAACACTTATAGATATGGACCTGATGAAGTCTAGTAAGAATAGAATGAATGCGTAAATGAAATGGGGTCTTTAGTCATTAGCTGTTTCAATTAATCAAAATTACTTCTTGTTCTTGATCATCAGCATTGTTTTCTTGTTCATCTTCAATATCTTCATGAATTTTGATTGTTCGAACTGTTTGACTTAAATGTTCATCAATATCGACGATATTTGTACTATTTTCTTGAATAACAGTTACTTGTTTTAACCAAATTCCCAATCCATTGCAAATTATTAAATGAATTTTATGAGCCATACACTGTATACGATCTATATCTGTTCGACTTAGATAATCAAATAAACCAACCATATTCGGCGCACCGTCGCACGTTATGGTAGTAACTTTATCGAAAATGCCAAGTTCTGTTAACTGTTTTTCTATTTCACGACCAATAACTGGTGAGTAATGACGTTTTGAAAATGTGGAAAATTTAAGAACTGTTGTTTTTTGAATAAATTGATCGTCAACGTAATGTCCAGTTAAAACCAAGTAGGAGTTTTGTTTTTTGTCACTCCAAAAATCTGTAGTAATAGCAATATATGAAATGTTAGACAAACTATCAATCATTGATTTGAAATAAACCACATGCAGTCGTTTTATGTTACGTTGTATTGTATGTCTGTGTGGTGGTTTATATTCTAAAGATGAAAAAAATTAAATTCAAAGTACATAAAGACAAAGCTCTTCAGTCTCAAAGCCACTGATATGGTCGCTCTAGCAATGGCACTAATTATAGAAGCACACAACCTGGAAAAAAGTATAATGTTGAATCTGTACTCAGAGAAAGAACTGTTCAAGGTTCCTGAAGATCTACCGAGATTCAAAAAGTTTTGAACACTTGATCGAATGTTTTACAAATTTAGTAAATCTGAGGAAAGCCTAAAAAATTCTTCCTTCAAAGCAGGCTCGGTGATATTTTTTTTAACAATTTACTTGCCTACGGTGGCTTTAAATAATGTAAATTCCATTGCATTAGCTGCTCATTATTGCTTTCTATTTAGACAAATTTATATTTCAAATGTTTCGGGAGAAAAACTACCAAAGACAAGTTGATTTATGATGATACAAACTATTTCATAGGTTTTATTTTCGAATATGAAAGAATGTCTTTAAAAAATTTAACTTTTTTTTCGTGTATCGAAAAGTTCTATTTCCCAATAAAACAAAACTCGCTCAATCAAACAGCCAATAGTCAGGCTAATGTGTGTACTCGAACAAAAGAGATGTGCACGATTTTAGATCATTTTTACCCGGAAGTGCAAATTGTAGAAATTTCTTCAATCCTGGCTTGTCGAAGTCCGTGAAACAACGTGCATCTCGTACCACTGCTTCAATTATCAGTTGATCCAGCTGCTTTTTGACATGAACAGGTAATTTCTTTCTTTGATTTTTCAGCACATTGTTGGTTGTTGATTTAAATTCATTCAAATTGTGAACATTATGTAAATGTCTTCTTAATGAACTTGTTGACATATTTGGTGTTAACAATTGCATTTTACAAGAATCATCGAGACATTCAGCTTTAGCAACACCATTTACAATAACTTGTTTGAAATAATCCCACACTTTAGATCTTCTTCCTATTGCCCCACTGATTATTGAGGGTGAGCCTTGAGAACGTGAAACAGCAACCATGTTAAGTTGTATACTAAGTTATTCAGATTTTGATTTGTTCCAGAATCAAACTAGATATAATGAAATCGATAAGTTCAGCAAAGACAAAAATGAACAAACCACAAAGAAAAGATAAGGAGTAATATTGATAGACGTTTACCTAAAACAGAAATAAATAAATTAGAAAAAAAGATGAACAATAATACCAATATAAGTTCAGCAAAGACCAAAATGAAGAAATCACAAAGAAAAGATATAGAGTAATATTGATAGACGTTTACCTAAAACAGAAATAAATAAATTAGAAAAAAAAGACGAACAATAATACTAATATAAATTCAGCAAACACAAAAACGAACAAATCACAAAGAAAAGATATAGAATAATGTCGCAAAGTATCTTGTAGTTAAACAAGTGATAACAAAGCGAACTTGGAAATAGCATATAAGGAACAACTAGCGCATAGAGAGAAAATAATCTCGTAGGATATCTTTAAATGAAAAAAGAACTCAGTATCACATATTCTTTTGATTGTTTCTGTGATTGAAATGGGTGTTGTAATATTACTGATCTTTCTACTATACAACCGTATGTTAAACCGTTAATAAGAAGAAATACCGCGTATTGGGTCAACAACGAATGATAAATCAGAATCATTTTTAATAACAAAAAACAATTCACATATTGATTTGTATTATCCAATGTTCATGGAAATAACTGAATCATTTTAATAATTCTTCCGAAATTGTCACTTTGCATTAATTTTGAAAGAGTGAAAGATGAATTCATAGATGGCGGTAATTTGGTGATGATCCGCTAGCAGCCGCGCTGATTTACTACAGCAGTAGTCTTCACAGAATCATGCCTAGTGTTTCATTCGCTTTTGGAATAACTTATCTGTATCGAATTGGACATTTGACACGAAGTGTACAAAATTCAAATTGATATTTTTAGTTTTTTAACGTTTGCATAAGTTATTAACGCATGTTGCTGCCGAGATACAAACATGTAGCTTTGTTGGCTGAAAATAAAGCGGCTATTCATTTCGCGCTGAAGTATATGAGAAGTAAGATAAATGCAAAACAGTTTAAGTGAGTTGGGCTTCGAATAGGTCTGAAGCATTTTGAAAATATTGAATTGTTTTTTGTTATTAAAAATGATTC